GTTTATGATTAGATCTATCTTTTTATCCATGAAAGTTATTTGAATCTTCTTTGATCTCTTGTATGCATGATTGCTTATAGCCTCATATTTCTTCTCCGATATTTGGGTTTTGTTTGTCCAACTTAATTTATTTATCTTGCAATGGGAAGAGGTGCTTTGTGATGGGTTCGATCTTATGGTGCTTGATCCCAGTGACAAATGGAGAACCGACACGTATGTATCGTTGCCATTAAGGATAACAAGATGGGGTCTATTTCTACATAAATAGATCTTGTCTACATCATGTCATCGTTCTTATTGCATTACTTTGTTTCTCCATAAACTTAATACACTAGATGCATGCTGGATAGCGGTCGATGTGTGGAATAATAGTAGTAGATGCAGGCAGGAATCGGTCTACTAATCTTGGACATGATGCCTATATAACGAGCATTACCTGGATATTGTCATGATTATTTGAAATTCTATCAATTACCCAATAGTAATTTGTTTACCCATCGTTTGCTATTTTTCTCAAGAGAAGCCACTAGTGAAACCTACGGCACATGGGTCTCTTCTTTATTATATTTGCCTTCGCGGCCTATTTTTATTTGCTTTTATTTTCATATCTATAAAAGCAATAATACAAAAATACCTTGCTGCACTTTATTTATTTGGCGTTCAATCTATCAATTTACTACAACTCTCTCATGTCCGTTTGCCAATTTCTGGCATCGTTGCCCAAAAGGGATTGACAACCCCTTTAATACGTCAGGTTGCGACTATTTGTTATTTGTGTGCAGGTGTCGTTCACGTAGTGTTGCATGGTTCTCCTACTGGTACGATAACCTTGGTCTCATCACTGAGGGAAATACCTATCGTTGTTGTGCTACATCATCCCTTCCTCTTTGGAGAAATACCAACGTAGTTCTAGCAGACATCACAATGCGCGACCCGCTGAGCTGCCAGGGACCCCGTTGTGAATATTTTATTTACAAATAGGCCCCTGGCAGTCAAACGCTGATAACTTTTTGCCCGTAACTCTGATCGAGGTGAAACCAACACCCACTTCTTCATCTCATCGAGATCTTTCTGTTGGTACCATTTTAACTAGGTGGTCTCACTGTGAAAATGACGTTTGTACCCTTGCTTCTAACTAGCCCCCTTTGAGATAGAAGTACGTTCGGCGTTTCGTTCCGCGGCTTCACCGCACTTCTTCTCGGAGTCTCCGTCACCCCCAGGCAAGCCACTACAGCCACTTGCATGATGGATTTGCAATAGCCATGGTTTCTACTTGAATATTTAATAAAAATATCCCGTTTACTGCCTGCTTGTTTGTTGCTACTGTCGTTATTTCGGTTATTCTCATGGATTCATGTCCACCTTCATGCTATCTTCTGATGCATCTCGTTATCTTGTACTACTTGCTAGTATTATTTTCTCCTGTCATGCTTGGTAGTAGTAGTAGCACATGCTGGTGGTAGTGTTGATCATTCTGATGCATGCTTACCATTTGTTATCCAGTACCGTTGCTATGCATGTTCCATTGTATCTAGTTGGCTACATGCTTACTTGGTAGTATTCTTGTTATGTTCTTGCATTGTATTTATTTCTGATGCTAGTGGTCATGCTATGCTGATGTGTAGTGTTATGCTTATGCTCGTTAGTGTGCCCTGCTCGTTTGGATAAATGATTCATTGTTGTTATGCATGATGATTATGTTGCACCTCCATGCTTATGATGATATCATGCTCATGCATTGTAGTTGCATAATGTTATTTTAATATGGCTCAGCTCATTACATTCAAGTTTAACCGAACTTAAATAAACTTGAGCAACTGTTGGCTGAGTCATAGTGCCATCGAAATCAAACTGACCAGTGCAGCCACACTTGCTTTATGGGGGCTCCTAACTGGGTCTATTGTCATGCCTCTTGACGGTGTCTCCAACTAGGGAAGGTTATGGGCGCGCACTACCTTGGCCAAGTAGGCGGACATAAGCCTTGTGTGCCCGCGTTGGTGTGAGCGCTCTTATCCTCATTTGGGACTATTTTGTTTTACCACGACGGTGGTCGTTCGATGTCACGAGGTGACATCGGGGCCACCCATGACTTAGCCCAAAGGGGAGTTTTGTTGGAACGCCGTTGGTCCACCCGAATGGGAGCATGAGACCTTGGGTTCCGTGGTGTGGGTACAATGTGCTAACCTTTGCAGAGTGTATAATCAATCGATAGCCGCGCCCGTGGATATGGGCCCAGTTCGTAGTAGGTCACACTATGAGTCAACAGTAATAATAACCTGACTTAATAACAAGTCGGTTCGATGAAGAAAGAAGTTGGTTGATCTTTATGTGGTCACGGGAGGATCACGATGGTATTCTTGATATTGATGAGGTGATCTTGTGAGGATCTCAATGGTATTCTTGATAATGATGAGGTGATCTTGTAAACATCCCAATGGTATTCTTTATAATGATTGAAGTGATCCCGTGACCACGATGGTAAGTAAGAGTGGCATATATTTGGTAGTTACGCGGTAACCCCGAATAGAGTAAGTGATATTTGTAGCATGTTGCATGCTAGTACCATCATTGTTCATGTCTCGAGTAATATGTTCATGCCATGTTGATAATGTTCTAGCGGCATCTTGTTCATCTTGTACATGCCATGTTTTTCTAGTTGTATCATGCTCATGCTTGTTTAACCTGTAAATGCATGTTGTTGTTTGTCTTGATTGCTTCTGGTTGATGTGTAAATAGGGAATCTTATGCATGGTGTTCAGAAGTGTTAATGTGCAAATAAATCCACTACTACTCCCTCCGTTCCTAAATATAAGTCTTTTTAGACATTTCAAATGGACTACATCATACGGATGTATGTAGACATATTTTAGGGTGTAGATTCACTCATTTTACTCCGTATGTAGTCACTTGTTGAAATCTTTGGAAAGACTTATATTTGGGAACGGAGGAAGTAGATGATAACTACCACCAACGCTGCATGCATTCTTCAAGCAACAGCAAAACAAAAGGGGGGGAGCGGGGGCACCAACCAATGCATTCATTCACCATTCCTCCGGTCGTGCTGCAGCTGATCCTGCTGCTCTTCTTGGCCTCTCCTGCCACCGCATGCACCGAGCAGGAGAAGTGCAACCTCCTCCGTTTCCTTTCTGGGCTGTCGCGATATGGCGGCCTCGCCATGTCGTGGCGTGACAACAGCACGGCCTGCTGCAAGTGAGAAGGCATCGCCTGAAGACAGGGCTGTCACTGAAGTCTCCCTTGCATTTAGAGGAGTTGAAGGGCGTGTCTCGCCATCCCTTGCCAAAATTTTGGCTGGTAGGGAAAATATGGGCACAAATCAATCAAAACTATGAAGAGGAGTAGCTTTGGCAACAAAAGTTGTCTACGTTCAAAAATAATAACGGAAAAACATGACAACAATATTGCTGCAAACTGCATCTGAGGCCAAATTAGCTACCTTTAGCTAGCAAGAGAGGTTGGCAGTGCATGAAGCAAATTTAAAAAATGAATTTTCATTACAATCTCCTGAAAAAAGACTTAATCAAGAACAGTTGTTTAACAGGTGAACTCGAGCTGCCGAGTAGTGAAAGCAGGAATGTCTATCGCATATGCAGACAACTACATGTTGTTTTTTTTGTCCAAAAAAGAAAAGGAAAATAACAAGAGGAAAACCGGATATAGGGAGTTGAAGCACAAAGCTTCTTTGCCACAAAAGAACAGAGGAATAATCCAATAACAAGAAGCATGAGAAAAAAAACACAACCATAAAGCAGTTTTCAAACAGAATATGGTGGGTATTAATCATGGTATACAGCTGGCGGAAAATGACCTCACAGAATAAGTGTGGAGCAGAATATCTCCCATAGACATGAAACACGTTTCAAAATTTAGGTTGGTACCCCTGGGTCAAAAAGTAGGTTGATACCCCCTCGGCCCTGGGTACCAATGCCAGCTGTCACTAGCTCATGCCATAAACATGCGGTACTAAGTCTGTAGACAAAAAAACAACGGGAGGAGGAAAGCCGACGTGGCGGGGTGATGGTGGGATGTGGAGACGAAAATAAACCGTGCGTATCGGACTAACAACTTACCTTTTAGGGGTAGAGATATAAGGCCCTGTTTGGTTCATAAGTCCTAGGACTTTTTTTAGTCCCAACTTATATGTCCCAAGTCCCTAAAAAGTCCCTACTTGTTTGGTTCCTGAGACTTAACATGGACTAAAAGACCATATTACAACTATAAGTCTCTATAAGACTCTCCTTGAGAGTCTTATTTCATAAGTCCCAAATGCCCACTTTAAGTCACTATAAGTCCCTCCTGTTTGGTTTAGATGTGACTTAAAGGGACTTTTTTAAGTCCCTACACCAATAAGTTCCTGTAACCAAACACCCTCTAAGAGATTTGGTAAGATCAAAAATATATATGTGATTTGGTAAGATAAGAAACAAGATGTGTTATTTTTTTGTATTAGGAAACTTGTGATTGTCATTTAATAGTAGAGATAATGATAACAATACATGACTTTTCGGAAGGTTATTGAGAATAATCTTATGTATGTATGTCTTTTCGAAAGGTGATCCCACATAGTATATGATATGATTTCTGAATTCTTAATTACTTACTCCCTCCGTCCGGAAATACTTGCCATCAAAATGAATAAAAGGCGATGTATCTAGATGTATTTTAGTTCTAGATACATCCCTTTTTGTCCATTTTGATGACAAGTATTTTCGGACGGAGGGAGTATTATTTACGTGATTGAATTAAACCATCACCCGTCAAAGCAAGCACGAAACAAGATCTTCCTCTTTAATGATGGATTTGGTTTCTTAATGACAGTGAGAAAATAAACCATTGGAGGGGGTGGTGGGAGGTGAGAGGAAAAAATAGGACGAAAAGAAACTGGGATACCAGGCTATCAACTAGCGAGCAGAGCAGAGACTTGTGTTGGATGACAAAAAGTATGGAGACACGCTGGTCCAAACATTCATGGACAATTTCGTTTACTCTTGAGGAGCAATAAAATGAATAGGTCAAGCAAGATGACTAAACAAGTAGTTAACCTTACTCTCTTCAGGCATTTACGCTTAAAACATGAAACTTGGGGCAGTGAGATAATAGATTGATTCTTTGCTACTTGAAAATTTTGGACTAATCGGTAACTATTTAATCCATCCATAACTAAGTGATAGCTTTATAAACTAGTTTATTGGGTTTTAATATAGCTATAATGGGTAGGCACAGATGTTGCTTTCCTATTCTAGTGGCACTGTCTCTTTGTGCACCGACCGATCGTGGCCCCGGGCACTAAGGTGCACCCATGACAAGAAATATGGAATCTTATGAATGGTGTTCAGTCGCTCTGATGTCCAAATAAATCCACTGCTAGATGATAGCTAGTACCACCACAACATGCATTCTTCAAGCAACAGCAAAACAAGAAGGGGAAAGAAACACTAACCAATGTGTTCATTCACAGTTCCTCCGGTCGTGCTGCAGCTGTTCCTGCTGCTCTTCGTAGCCTCTCCCGCCAATGCATGCACCGAGCAGGAGAAGCGCAACCTCCTCCAGTTCCTTGCCGGGCTGTCGAGTGATGGTGGCCTCGCCACGTCTTGGCGTAATAACGGCACGGACTGCTGCGAGTGGGAAGGCATCTCCTGCAATGGAGATGGGGCCGTCACTGGGGTCTCCCTGGAGTCTAAAGGACTTGAAGGGCCCATCTCTCCGTTCCTCACCAACCTCACCAGCCTGCTGCGCGTCAACCTCTCGCACAACTCGCTCTCCGGTGGTCTTCCGGCGGAGCTCATGTTCTCCAGAAGCATCATCGTCCTCGATGTCAGCTTCAGCCGGCTCAACGGACCACTGCCCGAGCTTCCGTCCTTGGTTACCACTGACCGGCCTCTGCAGGTACTCAACATCTCAAGCAACCAGTTCGGCTCAGAATTTCCATCAGCCACATGGAAGGTGATGAAGAATCTTATCGCGCTCAACACCAGCAATAACAGCTTCACTGGGCACATACCGTCTTCTCTTTGCGTTGTTCTTTGGCTTTGCTTGACCTCTCCTACAACCAATTGAGTGGCGACATCCCAAACACACTGGGTAATTGCTCCAAGCTCAAAGTGCTCAAGGCTGGCAACAATCACCTAAGTGGGATTCTGCCTGTTGAAATCTTCCACTCTACCTCGCTAGAGTACCTCTCCTTCCCCAACAATGGTGGTTTACAAGGAGAACTTGATGGAGCACACATAGTCAAACTCAGTAGTCTGCTTACTCTTGACCTTGGAGGGAACAGTTTCAGTGGAGCCATCCCAGAGTCCATAGGTCAGCTCAGGAGGCTGGAGGAGCTCCATCTGGGCAGCAATAACATGTCTGGGGAGCTGCCATCAACTATGAGCAACTGCACAAATCTCAAAACCATTGATCTGAAGATCAACAACCTCACTGGAGATCTAGGGAAGGTAAACTTCGCCACCCTACAGAATCTAAAAAGTTTAGATCTCATGGAGAATAATCTTGGTGGCATAGTTCCAGAAAGCATTTACTCATGCAGCAATTTGACTGCACTGCGGTTGTCAGCCAACCATTTCCATAGTGAGATCTCCCTGAGAATAGGCAATCTGAAGCACCTGTCCTTCGTATCACTTAGTAGAAACTCCTTTACGAATATCACAAAAGCTTTGCATGCTCTTAAGAGCTGCAGGAACATCAGCACTCTGCTTATTGGCAGAAACTTTATGAATGAGGCCATGCCACAAGATGAAAGCATTGTCGGTTTTCAGAATCTTCAGTTTCTCGCCATGCACCAGTGTTCATTGACTGGACGGATACCTACTTGGTTATCAAAGCTCACAAGGCTCAAGGTACTGGTATTATCTAAAAATCAACTTACTGGACCAATGCCAAGCTGGATCAACTCCCTAAACAACCTCTTCCATCTGGACGTATCAAACAACAGTCTTTCTGGGAAAATCCCAGTCACCTTGATGGAGATGGCAATGCTAAAATCAGATAAGCCTGCCATCCATTTGGACCCAAGTCTCGTTGACCTTGATCTACTTATTTATGCTGTGGATGCATCAAAACTTCAATACCGCATACACAGTGATTGGTGCAAAGTGCTGAATCTCGGAAACAATAAATTCACAGGTGTGATCCCACAAGAGATTGGTCAGCTGAAAGCACTCCTTTACCTGAACTTGAGGTCCAACAACTTCTATGGAGAGATCCCACAATCAATCGGCAACCTCACTAACCTTCAGAGGTTAGATTTGTCTAATAACCATCTGACTGGTGAAATTCCTGCAGCATTGGAGATCCTTCACTTCCTTTCAGAGTTCAACATTTCTAACAATGACCTAGAAGGACCTATTCCAACAACAGGCCAGCTGAGCACATTTCAAGCTTCTAGTTTTAATGGGAACCCAAAGCTGTGCGGCCCTATGCTTATTAACCATTGTAGTTCGGTTGAAGCAGCTCCCATCTCCATCGTTTCTGCAAAAAAATGCAGCAGTAAGGTCATTTTAGCCTTTGGTGTGTTCTTTGGGGTAGGAGTGCTATATGACCAGTTAGTATTATTTAGATATTTTGGCTAAGCGGCTAAGCCCACTTCAGTGTAGTCTGATCCAGTATGCAATGGTCCAGTATCCAGTTATGGTGTTCACATCTCTGTATCTATGTGCAATGTGTCTTAATAATGTATTAGTTGAATCTTAAGAAGTTTAATATTGTTGAGCAAACCAAGTTGTAGCACAATCACAGCAAAAATTTAAGACCCTATATAGCATCATAGAATCAGGCCTTAATTGTCGTGTTTTACAAGGTCGCCATCATGACCCGACGACTTTGACTTCGCCGCAGTATTGCCACTGTGAATGATGGAGAAGGTTCAGGCTGTGAATGATGGATTCAGGCGACCCTGAACGAGATCCTGACGCGGTTCGCAACCGTGGGCACCGACATCAAGGCCGTCTCCGATGAGGTGCACAGCCTGCGCAAGATGGAGGAATTTGGCGACGAGATGGACAGCATCAAGCACCTCGTCCACGACAATGGCAAGTTGACTGCCTCGCCGTTCACTATCACACAGCCTACCGCCCCTCCACAAGCCGCCGCGCCGCCTCTGCTACATATCTCGCAGCAGCAACCGGCAGGCTACCACACTGCTCCTTCCTCGCCTCATGAGCTGGAGGAAAGCCCCACCTGCCACACCACAATCGAGCATGAGGAGTATCATCTGCGGCAGCCACAACATGATTTCCCTCAATTTCATGGTGTGACCCCTCTCCTGTGGATAGATCAATGCCTGACATGTTTCGAGATGTTAGATGTATCATGTGTGCCGGAACATCACTGCGTAAGCACGACGACACTATACATCCTTGGATGGGTTGGCAGCGCTTTGGTTCCAAGCATACAAGCGTCTGCATGGGCGTGCCAAGTGGGACGAGTTCATGGGAGCACTGGTGACTGAATTTGGTCAGGACTGAGTATGTGGTCAGATGACCAAAGTCTTCAGTTAAAACAAACTGCGTTAAGTCACAGACTACAGGGCTCGGTTTGAGGAGTGTATGTACCATTTGCTCTCTCGGTAGATCCGGCGATGAGCACTCGTTGGTTTGTTACTCAGTTTGTGTTTGGCTTGAGGGATGAAATCCGAGGTCCTCTTATACTGCAAGCTCCAACTAGTGTTACTCGAGCTGCGGCTTTGGCAAAAATTCAGGAAGAAGAGGCAGAACATCAGCGTCCTCGCAGTCGACCACCAGCAACTACAAAACATCCACCAAGCGTTGCAAGAGGGATAATCGCGCCGGCAGTGGCACGCACTGAATGGCCTCGTCATCAAGGCGATGACGATTTTAACAAAGAATGTCAATTAAGAGATATCTGACGTGCCAATGGTCTCTGTTTCAAATGTGGTGATAAATACTCAAAGGAACATCAGTGTAAGAGATCAGGCCAGTTCCTTACCATCGAGGTGGGAGAATTGGGCGAGGTACTGTCAGATGACGCAGTTGTTGCTTTGGAGCTGTCAGAAGAGACACCAGCCCCTGCTGCATGTTATAATCACAAATTTGTGAAACATTATGGACTGATCTCAAAGCCCTGACTGCTTACTAAGAAGGGATTTTACTGGAATGAACAAGCAACACAAGCGTTTCTTGCTTTGAAACAAGCTATGCTGCAAACCGCTGTCTTAGCTTTACCTGATCTCACTGTGCCCGTAATTACTGTCGAAACAGACGCTTGCGACACAGGGGTGGGTGCAGTGTTGATGCAGAATAGTCATCCCATTGCATATATGAGTAAGGCTTTGGGAATCCTTAACAGCAAGCTTTCGATCTACGAAAAGGAATTTCTGGCAGTGATCATGGCTTGTGGATAAGTGGCTCCAATATTTGCAATGTGGCCCTTTTCAAATCCTGACAGACCATAGAAGTCTCTGTAATTTGGATGACCAAACACTGAAAACTGATCTGCAACGCAAAGCAATGTCCAAACTGGTGGGTTTGCAATTTCAGATCATATACAAGAAGGGAGTGGAGAATGGCGCAGCAGATTCTTTATCCAGAATGGGACATTTGTTTGTAGTGCAGGCCATATCCACATTGCAGCATGATTGGGTTCAGGAAGTATCCACTTCCTATGTGACAACTCAGTTATTGCAGGAGCTTGCAATTCAGTCTCCAAATGACAACTTCACTGGCAAAATCCCAGAGAGTATCTACTTGTGCAACAAACTGACTGTGTTACAGCTATCTTTCAACAAGTTACATGGCCAGCTCTCGTCCAGAGCGCGTCACCTGAAGTCACTAACCATCCTATCACTTGCTGGCAACTATTTCATAAATATTAAGAGTGCACTTCAGATCCTAGATGGTTCTAGTAATCTCACCACCTTGCTTATTGGGAGCAACTTCAGAAATGAGGAAATACCAGGGGATGAAGCAATTGATGGTTTTGAGAATCTTAAGGTTCTCGGCATGGAAGATTGCCAGTTGTTTGGGAAGATCCCTCTATGGATATCAAATCTCAGAGATCTGGAGATGTTATTCTTGTTTAATAATGAGCTAACCGGATCTATTCCAGCTGGAATCAGCACCTTAAACTTCCTATTCTACATAGACCTATCAAACAACGGCCTCAGGGGGAGATCCCAGCAGGCTTCATGGAGATGCCAGTGCTAAGATCAGATACAATCACGACAAGTTTAGACCCAAAGGGCTCTGAGCTGCCTACTTACAGCGGTCCTTCACCTCGATATTACACTCTAGGTTAGGCAACAACTTAACAGGTGTGATACCCCCAGAGATTGGACAGTTAAAGACACTTGTGTCGCTCATCTTGGGCTTCAACAGATTGTCTGGAGAGATCCCACGAACGATCTCTAATCTCACAAACCTGGAGGTGCTAGATCTGTCAAACAATCATCTCACTGGTACAATTCCAGGTGCACTGAATAATCTACACTTCCTTTCTAGATTCCACATTTCCAATAGTGACCTGGAAGGGTCTGTTCCACATGGAGGCCAGTTCGATACCTTTCCGAGCACGAGCTTCGATGGAAACCCGAAGCTATGTGCCTCTATGCACATTCACAACTGCCATTCAGTAGAAGTGCCTAAAGGCTCCACGGAACAAGGCTACAATGTCATGTTTGCCATTGCATTTGGTGTGTTCTTTGGACTAGGTGTACTCTTAGATCAATTATGCTTATCGAGACTCTTTGGCTAGACATACCCTCAGTTTCGTAATGGACTTAGATAATCGATGGTGGAGAAAATTGCTTCTTTTTCTTCACTCTGATGTAAAAGAGAAATTTATGAGCTAATATATAGAGGTAGCGAATAGAAAAAGACTTCCCTTATTTATGACAAGAAAAACAAGTAAACAGAATCTGGCAATGAAAAAAAATGGTTTCACATGAAGATATCAAAAGTAAAGCATTTATAAATCGTAAATGGAGTTAATGATTTCAGTGTTGAAGATCAATTAAAACCACTACTTTACATCTCACCAAATTGAGAAATGAAAGCGGTACCTAAAGTGATAGCAAAATAGAGAAATTTAAGTATGGTAACAAGAACTATACATACTAACAGTGAGTTGTGAGCACGAAGGAAAACCGGAACACTATCAGGCTGAAGCATAGATTGAGAGGAGAGTAGTACCAACAGTGAGCTGTGAGCACGAAGGAAAACCAGAACACTATCAGGCTGAAGCATGATTTGCAAAGAAGACACCAAACTGAAAAAGCTCCCATCATGCAAGAAACAACCACGAAATAATTCGAAATTTTAAGACTAAACATGATGCACCTCTCTGATTGACCATTTGACTCTGATTTCCAGAATCTAACTCGCCACTGCATTAAAGTATGGGAAGCAAATCAGGTGTTGTAAATGGTACCACTCTGCACTATTTATCAGAAGAAATCCAGCCCAGGAGAACTAGTATATTTGGGTACCGTCCATACATATCATACCCATGTATACCAACAGTAGGGTGAGCAAATTCCCTGTAAGACTCAGCGGGCCCAAAACTAGCCAGGCTATCAATGCCAGCCTGCCACTACTAGCTTATGCCATAAACAGCACTATTAGTGTAATCGAAGGCCACCACCTATATAGCTATATGTACTACTAGATCATCAAGGCGCGCGTTGCTGCGCCCGCTAATCTTGTTGAACATCTAATGTAGGAAAGAGAAATATTTGAAAAGATTTGTGTAGTTATAAATAACTGAGAATTTGCACCATGTACTTTCTTGTGGTTTACACAAATTGTAAACTGACAGTTGCATCTAAAAACTGAATTTCAGGTACCCAAATACACAAGAAATCAAGATACAAAAATTGATCAAAACCTACTACCATTTTACTTATTATATAGCTGACACCAATTATGGAAGAGCATCCTGCATTCTGTACCTAGTGAGACCTTGTAGGTGCTTCCATGTGCTATCTGAATGTCTTACTTCACTCCAACTCTTTTTTCAAATAGTAGCAATCAGCTTTTAAAACAGCAGTTGCTTAAAACGCTCTGCTCTGAAGTCTGAACAAATTAAGCTATCATATGTTATTTGTAAATAACAACTAAGTACCTTTTCTTTCCTGAATAAAATTTTCAGTTTATGCAATTTGGCTCGACTGCTTAGTGCTTATGTTATTTCTCTTGTATATTTCCTATGAATAAATATTCTCTAAAATGGAAATGATTATTTGATCATGGGGGAAGGGTGTGTGTTCCTACCAATCAAGCACAACATAATTTCTTCAGGGTTGTTCCTGCTCATTGGTTTAATCAATTGTGTCAATCTGTTACTCCAGTTTGTAAGCTAAATGCTTTGAACCAGAAGTTCCTTATCTTGCAACCTGAGGATATTGAGTAGAACTAAATTTTCTGTTAACTTTGTGATTATATAAGACTGTAAAGTCGCAATACAGGGCGAATAATTTGATAATAATAAGGACTGAAGCCTGATACACAAAGATTAAATTTGTACAATTAAATATATGTACTAAAAACCTAAATTAGATCATTATTTTTCGAGAAAATCCAGGCCACTCGATATTTCCTACATATTCTAGCACAAG